TGGAATTTGTAATGGCACTTGCCTCCCAAGGTCTTCCCGAGGATAAAATGAGATCATACACATAATACTCGGCACTGTGCCTGGCACCTAGTGGTGCTCTGTAAATGGAGAAGAACAGATGGCAGAAGGAGACTTGTGGCCAGAGGGACTGGCTGGGGAGCTACTGCAAGGGGCTAGAGGGAAGAATAGGCACCCAAACAAGGCAGTGTGTGGGCAAAGATGAGGAAAGGAGGGTACAGGGCTATTAGGAAGTAGAATTATCGAGAACTGGTAGCCGAATATCACCATTACCGTCATGGGAAATCCTTGGACCTGGGAGTCAGGACTGAGAGTTCTAGACTTGACATAGAGTTGGTGAGTGGGTGGCCAAGGCATGCCACTTTACTGCAGAACCCCGTGGCCAGTTCTAACAAAAGGGGGACAGCAACAATGGTTTCCAAGGGACCCTTCACCTCTGCCCGCTCATATCCTGAGAGGCCATGACCTGTTCCTACCTCCAAGGCAGACATCAATAAGTTGGACCAGCCCTACGGCATCTAGGGAAAGATCCAATGGACGCATATTCATTAAGTGCCTTCTGTATACTTCTCTGAGCACCAGGTCCTGGGAAGGAAGGAAAGAGGGTGGACAAGTGAATGGGGGCACCAATCCCCGGAGAGCTCAGTCACTCCTGGCAGTTCCCTAGTGTCGGAGAAAGGACCTCGGAATTGCCGCGGAGCAAGGCGCCAATACTATGGCACTGGATTTCTGAGGCGAAAGCCTTTTATTGCAGGTTGGCCAACAAGGAGACAGGCATCCAGCTCAAACCTGTCTCCCTGTGTTGGATTCAGGGCGGCAAGTCATTCGAAAAGGGTTAGGGGTGGATTCTGGGATTGGTAGGTGACTGGTGAAAGGAACGCAGAGGCCCGGAACATCCTCGGACATGCACAGTTATCTCTTCATGCTCCCTCATGGGAGTCGTGTGCAAATCTGGGAGGAGTTCGTCCGAAACATGTGGTGGAAACGGGGGTAGTGATGTCCGCAAGCTCATTCTGCCCAGACTGGTTGCAGCCAGTAACTTTTTCTCATGAGCAGAGGGAGTTTCAGCATTTTGGCAAGTTGCTTCTTTTTTTTTTAATCTGCCAGCCTATAAACTCAGAAATTTCTGTCAGTTACTGATTTATTTAATTCTTTAGGACGTGGTTTCAGAGTCAGAAAACCAAGAGGTGCCGATCCCAGCCCTGCTGGGGCCAGCTTGTTGACCTAGGCAAGTTTTGTTTCTCTTATCATCGTTTCTTATGACTGAGAAACAAATGACCACAAACTGGGTGGCTTGAAGCAACAGAAATTCATGGTCTCACAGTTCTGGAGGCTGAAGGTCCAGCGTCAAGGCGTGGACAGGGCCGCGCTCCCTCAGAAGCCTCTAGGGCGGGACCCTTCCCGCCTCCTCCAGCTTCTGTGGCTCCAAGCCCTGCTTAGCTCATGGCCACGTGACTCCCCTCTCCACCCTCATCTCCCACGGTGGTCACCTCTGCGTCTCAGAGCTTCTTCTCTCTTCTCTTATAAAGGCACGAGTCATCGGAGTAAGGGCCCAGTCTCAATCCAGGGTACGTTGTCTTGAGATGCTTAACTTGATGACATCTGCAAAGACCTTACGGCCCTACTCACGGGTACCAGGGGTTAGGACTTGGACGTACCTTTTATGGGGACCATCCTCCAGCCTGCTCCACCCCTGCATATTTCGGCTTCCTTGTCTGAAAAATGGAGTCATCCTCCACATCTCATCGGGTGGGAAGGAGGGTTAAAGTGGCAGTCTGCCCTTTACGTGGCACCTGGCAAGTAAAGGACTATCATCAGGCACGTGCCTGTCCTTCCAGCTGTCCATCTGCCGAGTCCTCTTGTAGCTAAGCTCTGTGATTCTGAGTCACCCACACGGTCACTTTGGCGGCATGGAGATGAGGACATAAATGTTGTTTGTGTTCTGCCGTCAGCCCCAAGTGTGCGGGGGTGGAGGACGTGTCGCCTTCTCTAGGACTGCGGGCGTTTGTCGCTTGGCAGGTCACCACAGCCAGGACAGAACCACTCTGCTGCTACTTCTACCCTGAGGGCTCGAATGGGCTCAGGGCTGCCCGGCACGACAAGAGTTCATGGGGAACATCTTGCCACCTAGCTGCTGCTGCCTCATGAGTGCGCCCTGCGCTGTTTGAGTTTGCGGGCTGGGCCAGCCGTTGTGAAGGCCTTGGGGGCGCACAGAGAAGCACTATGTGACTGCTTCGCTCCCAGAACCCTGAGGACAGAGGGAAGAGAAGCTGGTGCACAGATTGTGGTGTAGAGAAAAAAGTCCCTTTAGGTTCAAGCTCAGCTTTGGACTTGGTGGCGGGATCCATGTGGGATTCTGAATAGCACAGCTCAGCGCCTGGCAGGTACTAGGAAATCAATAAACATCCACTCACCAGATGCTTAATGAGCAAGTAAGATCAGTGACAGGAAAGGGCTGGGAAGAAAGATACTAAAATATAAAATCCACAGGGTTTGGAGACTGGTAGTTTATGAGGCTGAGGGGCATAGAGTCCAGGATGGTCCCCAGGCTTCTGGAGTAGCCAAGCATGGCAGAGGAAGAGGAGGTTTGAGTGACAGATTCCGACTAATAATCCCTGACGTTTATGGAGCGCCCACCACGGGCAGGACATCCTGCTAAACTTGTGGCTTGTATTTTCTTACTTAATCCTCACAACAACTCACGGCATACACCATTATTATTATCCACATTTCTCAAAACTGAGGCAAAGAGGTCAGTAACTTGTTTCTCCCGAGTCATTCCAGCTATGCCCATGGGCTTCCTCTATGCCAACATGCCGTGTCAGTTCCTTCGTAAGAGTCAAATAACCTAAGGGGATATTTCCCAGATTCCTAATTGCATCATTCTCCAATGTGGCACTGAGATCTGAGTATGTTCTTCTACTGAAAGCACTGTTGACATACACCTCACTTCTTTTTTTCTTGTTTTGCTTTTTGTTTGTTTTATACATTTTATTTTGAAGATGTGGGGTACCATTCAGGATTAGGTATATAAGTGGACGTCATACCGGTAAAGTTTGGGCCTCCCTTTGGTCCCCACTTTGCCTGGTTTGCGATCAGGTGCCCTTTCCGATGTTATGTGCAGCCCCCCTCCCATCCTGGCAGCATTCTGCTACTGCCAATCCCTTTCTTATAGTATTATGGTAAATATCTGGGGTCCGCTTGTGAGTGAGAACATGTCATACGCAGTTCTTTGTTTCTGTGATTGATCATTGAGTATAATAAACCCTGTTTCAACCAGGAATTCCACTGACGTGCTAGGCACATCTTCGCTTTGCACTTCCCGGCTGTGTGGCTCTGTCCCATGGCTGGCCCTCTCTGAACCTCACCTGTAAAATGTGTCAAATGCTGACATGTGACTGTCAGAGGCTGTTGCAAAGAGAAAAGGAGAGCCCATGGGTGAAAGTGCACTATAAAATCAGAACCCAAGGGAGAGTCTCGCTAGGGGGCAGCTGGAATTTGGGCGCTGGTCAGATTCGAGTGTGAACCTGCAACTCCGGCAGCTCCAAGTCTGGTGTCCCCGTCCTCCTGCCCCTTCCCACACGGAGTGACTGTACGACTGGATGCTGAGTGGAGGCAGCTTTAACCACGACACGCTGTGGCTCCCGGGACAGATTTTGGCTGCTCTGACAGCTGTAGAATGGAATTCTGCCCACAAATTAATTTGCTAGAAATAATCAACACTTCACAAGATTTTCCCAGAAGCCACCGTGAACAGTGAGGCTGTAGGGTGCACTCCTGGCCAAGTGAGGCAGGGGTGAGGCGATGAGATTGACTCGCCATTCAGCGCCTCGGAGGGTGGGAAGGGTCAGGGACCCCAGGGCGAATGCAGTTCCCTGAAGAAGGGTCCTGAACACCTGAGACGCCATCCTTGCCCTTGTTGTTCTATGCAGGTGAAATCCACATAACCCAAAGGTCACCACTTTAAAGTGAGCGGTTCCGTGGCATCTGGTCGGCTTCAGTATTGTGCCACCACCACCTCGCGTTCCAAAATGTTCCCATCACCCCCCGCCCCCGACATCAAAAACCTCCTGCCCACGAAGTAACCATCCTCCCTCTCCCCTCCCCGCCCCCAGGCCCTGGCTGCCTCCAATCTGCTTTCTGTCTCCTCAGGGTATTTCATATTAGCTCCCAGCTACACTAAAATAAAATTGCAGCTGGGCTTGGTGGCTCAGCCTGTCATCCCGCACTTTGAAAGGCTGAGGTGAGGGGATTGCCTGAGCCTGCGGGTTCGAGACCCACCTGAGCAACTTGGCGAGACCTCATCTCTACAATAAATCAAAAAACCAGCCGGGTGTGGTAGCATGTGCCTGTAATTCCAGCTACTCAGAAGGCTGAGGCGGAAGGATTGCCGGAGCCCAGCGGGTCGAGCCACTGCAGCCACTGCATTCCAGTCTGGGTGACAGAGTGAGACTCCGACTCAAAATAAATAAATAAATAAATAATAAATAAACAAATAAAATTGCTCCTGACATAGACACCAGGGACTGAAAGCCCTGAGCATCCTGGTTGTTCGGACACGGGGCCTGGGTGCTGGTGCCAGAGGAGGTGACCTTGCCCATGTCCTCAGCCCCAGGGGCTCAGGTCCTGCTCTCCACTCTGAGCTCACCCCACCTGTTCTCTGAGCCGCCATGATCCCTGTTCTGTCCAATCCATCCCTCAGGGGCTCCCCTCCCCCTCACCGAGTAGCCCGCCCCACCGTGCCCTTAGAGTGCTCGTGTGCCTTCCACCTTGGAAAGTCGCCCGGGTATTTGCCGTGATGCCTGCAGCTTGTTCGGGGGCTGGCTGGTGGCTTGCTGGTGACAGGAGCCGTGTGGCATCACGGAGTGAGTGCTGGTGTCACTGTCCCACAAAGCTGGGTTCCTATCCTTGTGTCCCCCGCAAGGGGCGGTGGCCGCAAACTGCGATGCACAGTGACCCTCTTTTTGTCCTGTTATCGGCAGCCCCAGAAGTGTTCCAGGTGTACGTGGACGGAGGCCCCGGGTACTCATACCCGGTCGACTGGTGGTCCCTGGGCGTCACGGCCTACGAGCTCCTGCGGGGCTGGGTAAGACACTCACCTGTGCGGGGACACAGGGGGCCGTGCAGGGGGGCTCAAGCCACGTCCAGCTGGGTGGGGTGGCCGGCATGCGGCGGGGACGGCATGTGGTGCAGGGAGACGCACTGGAGTCTGAGCCCCTGGGGTTCAGCGCTGATGCCCATGTGCCACC